AAGAGTGTCGCTTCTAGAAACTCTGCAAGCAAGTGTTCCCAGAAGTCCTCAGCCAGTCTCCTCTCACATCTCATTGGCCCAGATGTGTCACATGACCTTCCCTGAACCATGTCAGGCCCACCAGGCCCCCCTTAGAGGGAGGTAAGGTCAGCTTCCCCGAGACCTGTGGGCTCCCTAGGGGGCCTGAACAGAATCATCCTCATTTTGCAGATAAAGAAACTAAAACACAGAGAGGTCAAATGATTTGCCCATGTTTATGTATCTAGTAAGTGATACACTCAAGGCCGGACAATGATCCTCTGACTTAGTTCAGTGATTTCTTTTCATTATTCCACATTCGGATCTTCAAATCCCATGATTGGGAAACATCTCAGCAATCATTTAGTTCAATTCTCCATTCAGAATTCTCCATCTTATCTTAAAATTTCTCCCTAGATAGGATTTATTATAAACATTTCCCAATCATAATCTACTAGTATGTCATGTGACATAACACAAGGATGATACACAATACAAGCAAGCAAAATAATTTCTAAAATATAGGGGCTTCCCTGGTGGTCCAATGGTTAAGACTCCATGCTTCCACTGCATGGGGCATGGGATTGATCCCTGGTCAGGGAACTAGGATCCCACATACTGCACGGACAGCCAAAAATATTTTAAAAATTAAAAAAATATGTATATGGCAGTCATGATGGAAAAACTATACTGTTCTTAACTTTTAACTTCTACTTAGGAGAAATGTCATACGGTAGCAAATTTAAAGCAGTAAGAACATTTTTGCTGCTATTATTCTAAAGGATTTGCATGAACTCCATTGTGCTAGCCTGACAATTTTCTTGGTATGCCAATTTAAAAAACAACAGGAAAAGAGTTTATCTTAGAAATGCTGATGAAGCACCTTTAGCCCACAATGAAAAACATGATGGAAAAATCAATTTCAAATATTTGTGAGGTGTGTAATTTTTCACTTGACTAACAAGTCTATCAGCAAAATGAAAAAAATGTTCTTTCTCCAGTGTTATCGCTGTCCCTCCAGAGCCATCCCTCAAGGTGTGGTTTATAGCTATTCCCTGTGCTCTTCTGTTGCACTTGCCACTCGTGTTCAGCAGCACGAAGGAAGGAACAAGGAGCTTGGAGGTCTTAGGCTGACCTGTGAGGCGCTGGTGTGCTCACCCCCTCCTCTCCATATAGTGTCAGTGCGGCTAGTGGTCGTTCTGTGATGGTGCCTGGGGTTGTGCTGAGCTGTGCGTGGCAGGAGTTTTCCAACAGTCCCAGCTCCATGTAACTTTTGGTTCATCAGTACAGTCTGCTAAACCTCCAGGGAAAAATGTCACAAACTTTTAGGTCAGGAGCCACCCAGCTGCCAGAACCTATTGGCTTGGGGAAAAGAGAAAGAAGAGAAATGAAGTCACCAGGGATATAAATGACTCTCTTGGTCAGTGAGATTGCAGTGCCACAGAGCATGTTGTCAAACCACGTCTTGCAAGCAGAGTGAGAAACACAAGTCTCTCCACCTCACTGTGTTCCTGGTGGCTGACTTATCCCAGCGCTGAAGGAAATCCCTCAGTGCCCAGTATAGGTCTGAGGGAAGGGATACTTTTACCCTATTCAGGCCGGTTGAATCTTCTTTCTTCTTTCTTTCTTTAATACAACTGAGAAAAACAAGAATGGTCAGTGAAATTTCCATGTTCATAAAGACCACCAGAGGATTCCAAGTTGCTTCCCAGCTTTAACAAGTATTTGGCTTTTACGACTGACCTTTTTTTTCTTTAACATCTTTATTGGAGTATAATTGCTTTACAATGTTGTGTTAGTTTCTACTGTATAACAAAGTGAATCAGCTATAGGTATACATATATCCCCATATCCCCTCCCTCTTGCATCTCCCTCCCACCTTCCCTATCCCACCCCTCTAGGTGGTCACAAAGCACCAAACTGATCTCCCTGTGCTATGCGGCTGCTTCCCACTAGCTATCTATTTTACATTTAGTAGTGTGTATATGTCCATGCCACTCTCTCACTTCGTCCCAGCTTACCCTTCCCCCTTCCCGTGACCTTTGCATCCTCTTGCAGGTTGCTGAACGGCTGATGACAATTGCCTACGAGAGTGGAGTGAATCTCTTTGATACAGCTGAGGTCTACGCCGCTGGAAAGTAAGTCAGTGCCTGATGTGTCTCTCAGGTGTCATTTCTGGAACCAAGAGACTCTGCCCAGACCATTGCTGACAAGGGTCTGTCCTCCGCACACATGTTGATGCCACTGCTTTTCTCCCTCCCTCTCCCACCATCACCAGAATTGGGGCTATTGACCATCTCTGGGCCCCTCTGCCTACCTCTGGTCCCTATATGAAGAATGGACTGGAAGCAATTGCCACACGAGGGGCAGAGGTAGTTGATATCAGAGTGGTGGCAGTGGAGATCTATAAATATTAGCTGAATGTAATTAACAGAAGTGAGCAGATTCCAGCGTGGTGTTCCAAAGCTAGTCTCATAATTTCATAACCACACCTCGTAGTTCCTCAACCCCGAGGGAAATGGACACATCCTCTCTGCAGGGAAGCAGGGACTGCTTTTCCTGTTTGCAGGCCTGTCCCTCCACCAGGCATTACAGGTAAATCAGAGATTAAAGGAGGGACTCCCAAAGATGCCAAGAAACCCAATATCTTTTATAAGAGCACATTTCAGACCCCATTCTAAGGACAGAGAGCACTGCAAAGAGGCCTTGCTTCTTTTGCTGGAGAAGTCACAACTAGCTATAACCTTCTTATGGACCTGAGAGCAGGTTTGGGGCTCTAGGATAGGGCTCACTGCTAAGTCAGAACACATGGGTGCTGTGCCTTCAAGGTCCATGCCCTCTGTTCCTGCACAATAAACACATTCAACAGAAGTGGAACACCTTGGCCTCCTGCTATGAACGTGGATGCAGGAAAGAAGCTAAACATCTGGACAGCTGCTTGAGCAGCTCTTCAGTTTTCTAACAGGGCTGAGGAGTGTAATCACCTGTACGCCTAATTCCCCTGCTTCCAGGTGAGAATAACAATCAGACTGCTGAATCAGGTTCATCACTGCTTGATAAAAGTGCATTTTCCTAGCTTGGGTTTCCTCCTTTTCAAGGGCATGTCTATGTTTAAGGACCATCAGGGAGGTTCAGAGCCCACATCCTTGATGTTTTCTATTGAGTCCAAGGAGAGAAAATACAATTGATGAGGCCTTGTTCCTTTCCACATCCTGCCCTATCTCAGCGTTTTCTTCTTTTGTTAAATCCTGCTTATTACCAAGTGGGCCTAAGGCTGAAAAAGGGGGAGTGATTAACAAGTCTTCTAGAGCTGTGTCTGTATTCCTGTTGTGAAGGATAATTGGTCCTGATTAATTATTGATTGATTGTCCTTGTGTAATGAGATAGGTTCCCACTATGAAATGCAAGGTTGCAAGAGAGACTGGGGAAAGAGCCCAGAAGTAACATTCAACACATGTCTACCTGGGGCATTGCCCCACAGCTAACCCACCTCATGGTTTATTGCCAGGCTGTACACTCCAACAGAGACAGATGCTAATGGACAAAGTGCTGATTATATTGATGTCCCCATTCACAAAGCCTGAGAGCCCACCTACTTCTTACAATGTTGGTCTGGCTGGGAGGAACCTAGAAGGAAGTTTTGGTCTCCTTAAGCTTGGGTCCCAGCTGGGGTAGGTGGAGGGGGAGAGGATGGTGAGGGTGTCTTCAGTATAACTCTCCACGACCGGTATCAGCGGCAGGAAGGACACTTCCCTATGACTTCTTATATCCTCCTCCTATGACAATGCTTGTCGCTGGAACCCAGGACATTCTCTGTGTGGGCTGCTGCACCTACAATCCTGGCTTTGGGACATCTAAAGCTACACATAGGTTCTTTTACCCTGCAAGATCGCCTGGAGTCAGTATTTTCTGTCTGAAAAGCATGAGGTCTCATTGTCCTCCCCAGTCACAATCGGAGACCACAGCCATTAGAAAGAAACCCTTGACTCCCTTTGGATACCGCCAAAGAGGACAGTTATATATGGGATCATTGGTTCAAAAACACCAAACTGCCAAGTGACTCTGCTGTTTCCTAGTATCAGGACTGCAGGCGGTCTCCTGCCAGTGTGTCAGGATTTGGCAGGTGCTTCTGGAATGCTCCAGGAGCTGGATTCCGCAGGCACAAGCAGAAACAGTGGAAACTGCTACCAGCTGAGAGCAGCTTCTATTTTCGGGACATGTAGGCACTGAGAGTTCAAACAAGGAGGGGATCCGGTGTTTTGGATTGACTCTTGAGTTTCCAGGACACTGTATCCTAAGACATTATCTGTTTCCTCTTCAGGGCGGAAGTGATTCTGGGGAGCATTATCAAGAAGAAAGGCTGGAGGTAATGCATTCACCATAATCATTTACTTGCCTTTAAAAAGACTCCTGTTATTTTGTGCCAGAGAAGAGAAAATAAAATTGCATGACAACTGACCAAAAGGCTGTCAAAAAAAGTCAATTCTTAGTAAAGAAATGATTTACAGTGCTTTGAAAATAAATATTAGCGAGCTCATTACTTGTGCTTCAAAAATTATCGACTTGTCATTGATCACAATGAATTACATGGGTTGAGCAGAGAATGTTCATGAGATATTTGTGTTTAAAAGCAAGTGGCATTTTCATGGTTTCTGACTGCCATTTGTGGTAATCTGGTGAAGGAAGCCAGCTGACAGAAAACTTATTATCTCTACACACGTATTTATGTTCATTGTTCATTTTATTAACAACTCTGGATGCAAAGAAATGATGAAACAAGAAACCCTTGGGATACATATCCCAAAGCTTTCTTATCTGAACACAATTAGCCAGCGTCTCTCCTGTGTGCTGGGAGCCCTATTATCTGGGCATTCAGGAAAGTGCTTCATCTGCTATCCTTGAGGGGTCCTGTTGCATCCCATCACCTTCTGGAGCCAAAGCCAGTAGTAACGAGTGATGCGATAGTGGTGGCAGGGTGGGGGGGCCAGCCACCTCCATCTCACTACACCTGTCAACCCCAATAGCTGCTTCTCCCCCAGCATGAGTACAGGATCAGGCCGAGTCCAGCCAAGGCCACAGGACAAATCTGGAGTCCTCTCCTGCTCTGGTATAAGATCTGCTGATGGCCAAATAAATAACCATTCTATAGGACGAGTGGAAATGGAGACCCAGAAGTGTATGGCGATATGAACAAATAAACTTTGGTGACCTACTTTCTCCCTCTCCCTCTCCTCTTTCCC